TCCAGATACGTTCACTAGTGCTTAAGCAACTAATCTCGCTATTGCTCTTCTGGAAAGTTTGTTTTCGAGTTTCAGAAGATTTCTTTCGCATTAGTGGGGGAATGTTGGTAATGCTCAATCCCACATAGTATTGGAAACACTATTGGGAATGGTATTTAAGGCTTGGCTTTCCCACTTCCTTGTTGAGTGATAGAGAGCAAGGGGGACTCTCGCGCACCGCCGCCGCCGTCTGTCCGTCCGTCTCGGTTCGGCTCGGCACGGCATGGCTCGGCTCGGTTCGGCTTGACTCGACTCGTGGTCGTGGTCGTGGTAATACGTGTCTTCGACACGTCCGCGCGGATACTATCTTTTTAGAGAAAATTCTTGAGGAATTTCTCTTTGAAAGAAACAAATGGAAAATGTGAAAGATTTCAACTGATATTTATAGGCTGTTGAGGACTGTTTAAATTTCAAATGATAACAGCTGATTTATGAGTTATCAGAAATTAAACAGCTTTTTCCTAAATTAAATCAAAAACGTTAAGATTTATCTGAACTGATTTCTAGATTTGTACAGAGGAGGCAAGCTGTTAATATCGGGAGTTACAGGAGTTATTTGATTTAATTCCAGGGGTTACATGATATAATTTCAGGAGTTATAACAGCTGAATAATGATGCGATGAACTTGGACTATTTTTGAGTCAGGTTCATCTAGACGTTTCAGCTGTTACAAAAGAAGAGATTTAATTCTGAAATTTTATGGATGATATTAACCCTGTTTCTAGCCTATAAATAGAGAGTTATATTCAGCTTCTCAACTCACTCTCAAACATTCACAATTCACTTACAAAAGTGTTTTCTACAATTCTCTCTATGAGTTCTCTCTGAGTGCTTTCCAATCAGAAGAGCAATACCACCAGCAGTTCACTTCGGTTTCGGGTGTACGGAATTCGGACCGACCGTGTTAACCTCGGGGGACAGTCCGCCTACTGTAGTGATTACACACATCGGGGCGAATTCGTTTCTAAGACAGTGGTTTTTTCCATGACACGGTTTACGAATTTGTTCCTTTTAATTACTGTTTATATTTCCAGTCAGTGCTAACGGTGTAGTTTTGCAGTTCATATATCCAACAAAGGGTGTTAACCCTTCCTTGACTGTAACCGACTCCCGAACCCGACACGTTTCTGGTACAACGCATATCAGGTAAGATGGTGTCCGACCCACCCAAATTCGTTTTAAAATGGTCGGTGGCGACTCTAACCCATTATTTCAAGTCGAATCTCAATTTCGGGACCCAACCGAAAGACAGTTCTGACAGAACCTGTTTGGTTATCTGAGGTGTGGTCTCAATTATGGAATGTATGAGGTTTAATATTTATTTCTCAACTTTTGTAAGATGTGACATGAGTTTATTTTTGATTTTGTATTCGATAAATGATTTCAAAACGACTTATTAATAATTTTCGTTCGTGGATCATTTATGCGATCAACGTGATCACCCTAATTCCGTTGTAACACTTAGGTCGGGTCTATGGGGTTACAGGTCGGGTCAGGTTGGATTAACCAAAAATCCGACCCAACCCAACCCAAGCCATTGTCATCCCTAGTGAAGCTGGCCAGTATGTTAGGTAAAAATAAATAGTTGAAAACCTGGTAACCACTGGCCTGAGGGACCGAAAATTTTGACCCATGATTGACCCTTGACCCGTGATAAATAACGGACTAAATATTCAACCTAGAAATTCAAATATTTTAAAAAATACTCAGATATTTTAATCTGAATCGAGAGGTCAATAAATCGAGTAATTTTAAATAGCCTAGCCATAACCCTACTTTTCTCATCAACAAATAATAATATAAATTTTCAGAATTTAATTTAATTAAATTATATAAAAGTTTACTAATAGGATAAAATGATTGAAATGTAAATAACGGGAATTACCCACCGACATATATATATATATATATATATTGCAGTCACCAAAAAAAGATTGCAGATGTTGATGATGAGCGACCAAGAAAAAGATGAGATATAGCGATTCAATCCAAGAGTATGAAGCTATTTCAACATTGTCAGTCTCAGTTGATGAAGTTTCTGCAACTAAAAGACATTGATGAAATGATTAATAAAGAACATCTCAATTAATAAAGACGATAAACAATCCCCTTGAACTCCTTGTTTCATGTATGTCGGTATGTGTATATAACATAAACTCTACAAAAGCAGACTTATCCTGTCCTTTTCAAAGAATTTACAAATCGACCCACTTTATATCAATCAAATGACTATTCTATATATGATACATATTGTATAATAGACAAAGATTAAATTATATTATCAATTTTATAAAAGATTAAAATTTTGGTAAATTTCAAATGCCCTATGTAATGACTAAAACAATATTTCAACTTTTGCCTTTCTTCTGAGATATATCGAAAACTTTAAAATAGAAAAAATGAAAATCTTTGATAAAATCGAAATATTATAGTGGGTGTATGAGTCCTAGGATTTTCCCAACTTCAAAAGCTTAAAACTTTCCATTAAAATGTCACTCAGACTCCATTAAAGGTTTTCCTCAAGAATCAGAAATAACCATCTTCTCATCGTCCATGGAGGTAAGCTTTTCTTTTCTTTCTTTCCCTTTTTACTGTTATATATATTGTTGGAACCGAGGTTTTCGATGTTGATATTTTGAAGTATTACTCTTTTAATGAAAATCTAGGGACGATGAAGTCTTCGGTAAATTACGTATCTAGTCATTTCATTATTATCGAGTTCCTTTTGCACTCGTATGCAATTATGTTGCCCAATACAAGGAGTTGGGTTTTCATTGCTTTTTGTTGGCATCAATCACCTCGAAATTGAGTTAATTTAATGTTTAGTTTTTATAATTTTTAAAAAGTTTTCATGATTATTTTGAAATTTTAGAATTAGGACCAAATTGATAAATTAGAAATATGGAGAGTTAAATTGGGCAAAATTTATTTTTAATTATGATCAAATGGATAAGTTTTGAGAACTAAATATGTTATTACATCAAGTCATGTCATCTTTTTAACGACACATGAGCAACACGGAATAAAAACATAATGTTAGTGACTAAAATTAAAATTTTAAAAGATGGATGATAAAATTAGCAGGAGTGTCAAATTCTGACTTAGAAATCTAATGTTAAGAAAAACGAAGAAAATAGCTTTTTTATATATATAAAAAAAAAGTTATCGTCCTAATTTATTTATTCAACACGTTAGATTCAAACTAATTTTTTCACTAATCTGGATTAAGTACTCAAGTTCTTGGTGTTTGAACTCGAAATCTCAAGAAATAATAATATTTTTTTATCACTAAGATCGTTTGATTCATGCAAATTAATTTGAATACAATATTAAACAATTTTATTTCAATTGGAACAAGAATATTACATTCCAATTGTCTAAATCCAAACAAAAAATATTAATATTTATTATTAATAATTTGAATATCTGGTTTTAAAGGTTTTAAACCGTTTTCTATTTTGTAATTTTATTTTATTGGTTCAACTAATTGAACTATCAATTTTTTTAATCTATTTTATTTATTTTATTTTTACTATCATAAAATACGTGAACTAAATTCGAAATCATAAAAGAAAAGAAAAATAGAGAAACATGCTATATATTCACATATTATCCCTTATATATAATCACTGTACTGAAAATATACTTAAAATGTCTTAAATTCATAAGCATACCTCTCTCTATATATAATCCCTGTGCTCAAAACCAATTTAAACACTTCTTAAAACATATAGATTAAAGGGTAAAATACACAAATGGTCCCCGATTATAGGTACTGTATTATCAAGTGCCTCGAATATTAAAAGTTATAAAATGATCCTCTGAATATAGAGTGTTGTTTTTTAGTCCCTCGACTCTCAAAAGTTACAAAATGGTCACCCTACTATTAATTGTGTTCCAAACTCGTCCTTTTCCGTTAAAATTTGGTAGTTGTGTAAGCTAGACGTTAACGTGATGACTAAGATGTGATAATCATTTGAGATTCTAAGATCATATTTTATCACCTCAAAGACAACAAGTTAACGTTCAGCTCAGAATACCGTCAATTTTTTAACGAAAAAGGATGAGTTTGGGATATAATAAATAGTCAGGTGACCATTTTATAAATTTTGATAGTCGAGGGACTCAACAAAACAACACCTTATAGTCAGAAGATATTTTTTAACTTTTAATAATCGAGACACTTAATAAAGCAATACCCTATAATCAAGGTAACATTCATATACTTTACCCTAGATTAGATTATAAATAGGTATGTAACAAGATATGTTTGGTTTGGTGGGTTACAGCAACAAGAGGGGACAGCACCAATTCCGAAATTCGGGGAATGGGATGAAACCGATCCGACATCAGCTCAAAGGTTTACTGCTATTTTTAACAAAGTCAAAGAGGAGAAGAAGAATGCCCCATTGATGCCCACTTTCCCTAAACCCACCCATTCTTCACATTCACGTACCACTAAACCTTCCTTTGTCTCAAAGGTATTTGTATTTATTTATAATAAAAAATCATTATCCGATTGATTATCTTATTAATGATAACGCTATGTTATTGTCTTGCAATCATGCAGATATGCTGCTGTTTATCTTCTCGTTGAATGAAATTGCAGATGTGGTATCGTTCCTTTACTGTGCTTAAACCATGGATTTAACCTTTATATCTAAATTTGATGTATAATTTAGATTTCTCTAATTTTGTAATGTTATTTGTCGGTCCAAATAATCGACATCGTTAAACATTCCCGTTAAAGAACAAACATATCCATATAAGCATAATACAGTAGTTTACTCAGACAGCATGGACCAGTTTGAAGATGGAAACAAATTAAGCAAAGTCCGAAAATAATTCCATTAAAAGACCATTTAATTCAAAGGGACCATTCTAAAACCAATTTGTATGCCCAACATATTCTGTTCCCCGACATATCCTACAAATCTAGAGGGGAAACAACAATACGGGATGTCCAACAAAACAATAGCCTGTTCTGTTCTTCATCAATACAAATTGTGATCTGCTTATCAATCAATGGAGTATCAAATGAAAGAAACTAAAAGTACAAAGATAAGCCATTTCAATGCATTTAGCTTGAACGACGACCGACCAACTGGAATGGTAGATAAGAAAGGCCGAATGGAAAATTGAATCCCTAAGATGAATGTCATAATTGATTGAGCCAATGTCTAATTCATCAACTTTGTCAATATATTAGCTGAAACGGCATGCATGACTCACATCCAAGTATACTTCATTTCTCTTTCCAGCTATCCGTGGCGATTTGGTTTCGATACAGACTCTCCGTCATGAGCTGTCAAACCTAAACTCAAATCCAATGTGCTTTCGTTCAGATCTTGTCGTACTACTTTATTGTCCTGCTGAGACAGAATTGAGATCAAGTCAAATGTAGCGGTACAAAAATGAAACTGTTCTTTGTAACATTCTAAAAATAGTGACTGTTCTCAGTGACAAGAAAAAGGAGCTACAAAAATGGCCAATCAAACCAGCACCCAAGGGAAAGAAATCAAACAGATAGCAGCACACCTCATTTTCATCCATTGGAACGTCATTAATGTCGGGTTTTTCATCAAAACCGTCATTCCCGGAAGTTGGCTCAGCTACACTGGGATCAGTCTCACTTGGTTTAGCTTCATCGTCAACATTGTCTGCAGAATCGTTTTCAGCAGCTTCCCTTTCCTGCTCCTCCAACACAGCAATCTGCATGCTCAAGCAATCAAAATAATTATATGTTTTACAACCTGAAAACCCAACTGATCCCTGAAATTTGCTATAAAAAGCCATTTGGCAAACCTGTGATTATTTAATCCAAAACATAACATGAATACTCGACAAAAGCATTTGTCGTAAATGTTTCAAATGAACAAAGGCAAAAGCACTGTACATCATGCCCATGGAATGCAATTGGCAACCTCGACAACAAATCGTACAATCGGAATGTTAAAGGGATTCAATACTTCCCATATCAAATGTCATATGGTTTAGCTCTGTCAGTAAAATTACCACAACCAGGTGACTTGAAGCAACTACATGAGATGTTGTTAGACTAAAAGGATTGTTTCCACAACTCAAACTCTTGACCTTCTAATCACAAGGTATCAACATCGTTGTTTCCTACCAAGAGTTCTCCTACCGCAAAAGAAAAAGGGATATATCTATATCATATAAGTCAACTCCTCTTCCGTTCAACTACATGAGATGTTGTTAGACTAAAAGGATTGTTTCCACAACTCAAATTCTTGACCTTCTAATCACAAGGTATCAACATCGTTGTTTCCTACCAAGAGTTCTCCTACCGCGAACGAAAAAGGGATATATCTATATCATATAAGTCAACTCCTCTTCCGTTCCTATCTCCATCCCAACCATTCCACTAGCATTATATTATTGGTTTTTAAAACATTCACAAACCTCAAATTGCATCTGTGAGCATGAACACAACAAGAAACTTGATTCTCTACATCCTTTATGCATAATTTCCACATTAGCTTTACAATAAAAATTTGTAGATAAGCAAGCCAGGAATAGATTTTGGTTAATACACTGAAATCATGGATATCCTAAAAAAATTTGTCTTAGAACTTTTCACAAAAGGAATAAAATCAAATAAACATTATAGAAGCAGTTAGTAGTAAAATTCCAATTACCCAAATCTTCATTAGTCATAATAGTCTAGATAAATCCTTAAAAAAAACTTCAAAGCAGCCAACAACAAGCCAAATCAAGGTTCCGCTGAATCTAACCAGAAAATAAAACCCTTAAAACAGTATCAACCCGGGCCACAGATCACATATCGAGTAATTATGGGAAAGACACACAAAAATCAGATCCTAATTCACAGCAAATCCCCACCAAGAATATCAAGAGATAAAAGTAAAATATAAGCAGTATAAACAAGGATGAAAGCTTTAAATCACAACAACAACTAAAGATCGAAATTGAAGAAATACCCAAAGAAGGACATACCGGAATGTATTTAAATTTCCGCCTGGGAGGCTCCTCGGGCGGCGCCGCGGCATCGTCGTTGGAGGAATTGTTTGCGTTGTTGTCATTTTGGCTTTGGGATATTGGGGTCCATTTAAAAAGGACGAGATGCTTACCGTTATTACCGTTAGACGTACCATTGCTGCTATGGTGATTTTGAGAATGATTATTATTGGTGGAGGTGGTGTGACCTCCGCCGTTAGATGGCGAAACGTGAACCCATTTCTTCTTCCATCTCCTTACCGGCCCCGTGAACACAGTAGTCGGTCCGTACCGAGTGGAGGATCGACCGAATCGAACTCCCACTCCTTCCATTAACTCGGTCGCACAACACTAGATCGGTGACGAATTTGCCGTGAGTATCGAAAAAATTAAAAAAAATGGAAGTTTCGCTTCTTTGTTTTGTTTCCCCCTTTACCCCCTCTCTCCTCCTTTTATGCTTGACAGTGTGGGTTGGATTGTGTGTGGGCAGTTGTAGATTGCACGGGCGAATCAGAACCGTTTAATATCCCTAATTATTTTATTTAAGATTAACTACACCTCGGATCATTTATTTTTGTGTTATGTACATTTTTACTCATTAATTTTAAAAAACATAATATATGATTAATTAATATGTGATAATCATGAGTTAATTGTCGTTAGACTATTAACGATATGTTGAATTGACGTGAGAATTAAATAAAATAAAAAATATATCATTTTCACATTGATTATGTTAACTACATGATTGATCATTTTATATTTAAGTTTTGTACAATTTTCCTCACTCATTTCAAAAAATATAATAACTACGATCACTTTCGATTTTATTTAATTAAGATAAAATAAATTACATGCTTATTCACTAAATTTTACTCTCTTATTTTATTCACAATACTTTTAATTTTTTTTAAATTTACTCACTAAACTTTAAACATTAAACTTCTTGATTATTTTATCGTTAATTTTATAACGGCGTTATGACGTGGTGTTAAACCTCTATTCTTTACAGTCATTTCGACCAGTCAATGGTCATTTTGACCTCCTATGTGGCAAGCAAATGAAGTGCTCTTGGGACAGCAAACCTACACCGCCTTGGACGAGTTCAAATCCACTCCCCCACCTGCAAATGCACCTTTACTTTGTCTTTCAATATTTGTTCTCTTAGCTTGTTTGTGAAGTACCAAAGCGAGACGAAAGTAGCATTTGGCCATTTGGGTTCCTATATAAATACACAAGCTTGCAAGACGAGTTCTTTACGGAGTCCAGCAACAAAAAATGGGTAAGTGAGAAGAAGTTATTCTTGAGGATGTAGAATCGGTGAAATTATAAACTTTACTGTCGACGTGAAGCTCGGCCAGGAAGAATGAAACAAGAAGTAAGGATTCTTCAAGAGCAAAGGGTGATTGTCATCGGTGAATGGATATTGGAACCAATTTATCAAGGCAAAAACAATAACCTTGAACCTTGTGGTTTCCGATTTGGGATTGGTAACAAGGAAAATATCGGTTTCGCGAGCTTAAAAGCGGCGTTGGCAAGTGAGCACGTCTTGGGTGATGAGCTTGAAGACGAAGGGGGTGTGAAAGAAGATGAGGAAGAAGATGCTCCTCGTTTGGATTTTCAGGTAAGAAGAAGTCATCTAAGAAGAAAAACATAATTGCAATTATAGCCTCGAATGACGAGCTTGAAAAATGAAGAGGGTGTAAAAGAAGATGTGCCTTCATTGTCTTTATCAGATGAGAAAAAGAAAAAAAAAACAAAGTCTTCTAAGAAGATTGAAAATTCCTTCAGTGCAGCATTGCTTGAGAAAGAGGATGAAGGAGACCTCCTTGTACCTGAATTCACCACTGCTGCTGTTGTTGATAACCCACTCCCATTATTACCTCCTCTTGAACAGTCCTTCCACTCTTATTCTTCTTCTTGAGCTCTTGTTATTTGAAGTTTCAACTTCCTCTTCACTCTTGTTTTTAGTTTTAGAATCACTAGTTTCAACATTACTGGTTCCAAAACTCGAGTGTTCAATTTCCACTATGTCTGAAACTTCACTTTGCAGCTCTGCCTCATAACCCAAGGCTGCAAATGCAACACTGTTTTTCTTCTTAGATGACTTCTTACCAGGAAATACAGTAAAGCAAAAGCAGCATTTATTTTAAATGTAAATAAAAGAAGCTTTTATTTTAAATGTAAATCCTGTGTGTCTGGAAAAAATATTAAAATAATCCACATCATCACGGTGTAACTGAGAAAACGGTTGAATGATTAAAAAAATTCAAATCATGGTATAACTGAGAAAACGGCTGAGTGATTAAAAAAATTCAATATACAAAGTTCAGTGAGCAAATTGAAAAAATTGAAAGTACGGTGAGTAAAATGAAAGAAAGTAAAGTTCAGTAAATAAGAGTGTAATTTACCCATCAAAATGTGGTCACTACGAGTTAATTATCATTAAACCACTAACGATTTGTTAAGATGGTACGGTAATGAAATAAAACAGAAAATATATTATTTTCACGTGGATTATACGTGAATTAAGTTTAAAAAAAATAAAAATGTGTCATCAATTATCCATTTTCTTCAAATCCCTAAAACAAAGTCCCCTTTAAAATACTTTTCTTCAAATCCATAAAACAACACCCTTTTGATATCTATAGTAGCCTTTAAAATCCTAAGAATAAAAAGAAGAAGAAGAAAAATAAGAAGACAAGCCGATAAAGAATAATGTTATGAAATCAAGCAGTGACGATTTTAACTCGTTCTTCACAAAGACACGCCTTTAAAATCTACGTATAATCTACGTGAAAATGATGTATTTTATATTTTATTTAATTATCGTGTCAATTTAGTAAATCATTAATGGTCTAACGATAGTTAACCCATGGTGACAACATCATAATTAAATAAAAACGAATAATATATATATATATATTATGTTATGTGAAATCAGTTCGAAAAAATGGACAAAACACAAATATAAATAATTAATCATGTAGTTAAACCTTTTATTTAATACATGTTGTCAAACTTCATTCTAATCGTGAAAAATTTTAAAGGTAAATTTTATAAGGGTAAACTATACGTTTAGTAATTAAACTAATATTTTTTTTTTTGCACTTAAACTTTTATTTGTTTTAGAATCATGTTTAATATTTATTTTTTTGTTTTGTATTGGTACTTCCCCTTTAAAAACTTAGCAACTGTTATAACATGGTATATTTTATGCGTAAATTCAATCATTAATCACTCAACTATCTTATCATTCTTGTTTTGGTCACTAAAGTTTTAATTATTTTGATTTAATTATTTAACTTTCAAATTACTCATAATTTAATTACTCTAACACTCAAATTTAATTTTTTATGGGGGTAAAAACTTAGCAACTGTTATAACATGGTATATTTTATGGGTAAATTCAATCATTAATCACTCGACTATCTTATCATTATTGTTTTGGTCACTGAAATTTTAATTATTTTGATTTAATTATTTAACTTTCAAATTACTCCTAATTTAATCACTCAACTCTCAAATTTAATTTTTTATTTTAATTATATAGGAATAAAATAATAATAAGATAAATTACACATTTACTCACTGAACTTTACTCTTTCTCCTATTTCACTCATCGTACTTTTAATTTTTTAAATTTATTCATAAAACTTTGGAGATTGAATTTTTTTTCATCACTCCTCCGTTTTCCTTTTAACAGTGCGATGAAATGGAATTTTTTATTAATTTTCCATTGCCACATAGGCTTCAATTAATACTTTTTTTCTCACTCCTAACTTCATTTTCTCATACCTCTAAACAGAGAAATGAAGCTTTGGTGAGGCGACAGACGAAGCACCCTTTCAACCATTCACCGTCCAATCTCTTCTGTTCGTTGTCTGAATGATTTCAAATAGAAGTATATTAATCCCCTCATCACTATGTGTTTTCTCACCGTTCGAATCTGAAAGGTGACCCTCCAAGCATCGATGAATATCTTTAGCCGAACATGGATAGTGTCTGCAAATTTAATTAACATGTGCTAGCTAATGAGTAGATATTCGAACAGGAATGACTTGATCTCAGAAGAGCTCCAGAGAATGATTGCTTTGGTTAAGATAAATAATGGCAGTGGGTATAGGTGTAGTGATTTAGTTTTGCTTTGGTTAAAAGAAATAATGGTTTTTGAGATTGTTTGGGTAGATGTACTATGAAAATGGATATGGGTGTAGTGATTTGGATAAAAAGAAGAAAATTCTGGAAGACTAGAAAGAACAAGAAAAGCTGGGATTAGACAAATGATTTCGATAAAAAGAAGAAAATCAAACCCATCTTCCCTCGATCGCCTCATGTTCTTCACTATGATCATTCATCTCCCCTTTGTTAGGTAGCGTAAATGATTTTCTTTATACTGAAGAAGAAGCTAAGATTATTTTGGTTAAGAGAAATAATTGTTTTAGAGGTTATTTGGGTAGAGGTAACATGACAATGGGTATGAGTGTAGTGATTTGGGTGAGTATCTTTAAGGTGAAGATGTTGAAGGTTGATGATGATTAGGCTAGAAGTAGCGTAGGTGGTGGGAAGGGGATTCGGACGGTGGTTGAAGGTTATCGGAGATGTGGATAGTGGAATTTGAATGGGATTGAGAACCCCTTTTCCTCTGGGTTTTTTCTTTTGATACCTCCCTTTCTTTTCTCTTTGTTTGGTCAACGATGGTTAGAATAACAGCCGGCGATAGTCAGAACGATGATTGATATGGTGGCCAAGATTTGGGTCCATTCAAATTGAGGAAATAAATGAAGAGAAAAGGGAGGAAAATGGAGAAGAAAAGAGGAAGAAAGAGAAGAAAATGAAGGGGAAGGATTTTTTTTACATGTATTTTAATATTAATTTTTTTAATTAAGCCAGGTCATAACGAAAGTTACAAAGTTAAAGACGGAGTAATGTATGAAGTTAAGTGAGTAAATTAAAAAAAGTGAAAATACAGTAGGTAAAATAAGAGATAATAAAGTTTAGTGAGTAAGCGTGTAATTTACCCATAATAATAATAAATTTCATTGTCACAAAAATTATTAATAAAATAAATTAGAGGGATTAAAATATAAGTAATTTGAAACTTGAGTAGTTAAATTGAATTTTTTTAAGCTTTAGTGACGAAAATAAGAGTGAAAAGATAGTTGAGTGATGAATGATTTAATTTACCCATAAAAAATACCCACAGCAGTTCTGTCAAATTTTTAACGACATAGTACTAAAATAAAATATAAACTAAATATTAGGTATGATTTTGAAATAAATGAAAGTTTAGATATAAAAAAGGAACAAAAGTAATAGTCTAGGTACTAAACGTAGAGTTTACCCATTAAATAATTAATAATTAGTTTGTTTTATCATTCCTATTTTGATTTTTATACTTTTAA